TTAACGTCACAATTTTAGTTACCAAAACCGAAAAGTACACTAATACACTTGGTGACTTTTTTTTCAAAATTATTTACTCTATATGTATATTCACATAATATAATGTTAAGTAACAAGTATTATTACAGAAAATGTAATGACAGAGAGAAGAAGATATCAGTCCAAATCCAGTCCTATGCACAGCCCTGGCTCCCACAGCAGGGGTCCATGGGCACAGCATTTCCCACGCAGCCACCCCCACAGCATGCATTTCCCACACTACAGTGCAGGGCTCATGTCATCACATAGAACAGTCCCTCAACACACCTAACAGGTGTATGTTTATGTATATCTACATGCCTCTGTATAGTGAAATACTAGAAGAATCATGCAGAATAAAAGTGTTATTTTTATGAAAGGAATATAGGAGTAAAAGGAGTAGGCTGAGAGCAGGATTTCTCTCTTTGTACACTTTTTCATACGTTTTTGTCCACATTTTTCTGTTGTTGTTGTTAATCCTCACCCGAGGATATTTTTACATCGATTTTAAGACAGAGTGGAAGGGGGGAGGGGAAGAGAGAGAGAGAAACATCGATGTGTGAGAGAGAGACACATCGACCGGTTGCCTCCCACACAACCCCAACAGGGGCCGGAGATCAAACCTGCAAACGAGGTGCGTGCCCTTGACTGGGAATTGAACCCAAGACCCTTTGGTCCTCAGGCCAACGCTCTGACCTCTAAGCCAAACTGGCCAGGGCCATTTTGTACATATTTTGACCCACTATATTTTTAAACTAAAAGTTGATTTTAAAAATGGAAGTGAAATATAGTTATTGATTCTAAATAATAGATTTAAATTAGAAGTTGGAAATCTCTCTGTCTAACCTCCAGTGGATCAGTTTAATAGTGCTTAATTATCTGTTTTTCTAGCATATCAGAAAAATGATGTAGAAACAATTAACCAAAGTCAGGAGCCAGAGACACTCTCAGTGAATGGGAGGGTGGTCTGAGACAATTCAGAGAAACTGCTAAATACATCCCAGCAAACAGTCCCTGAAAAAAACATCAGTGAATCAGGGCAGTTTAAAGGCTGAGTGATTTCCACAAATACATGCTGAGTCCCTATTATGTGCTGTGTTCAGAGAACACAAAAGATGATTTTCAAAGAAGAAAAAGAGAAGTTTCCACCCTCTAGAAATGAGGCAAGAACGACTTTGTAAGCTTTAAGTTTTTAGAAATGAACAAGATGCCACTGGAATACAGATGTACAGAGAAGAGAAACCTTTGTGGGGAGAGAAAGAGAAGAGGAAAAATTAGTAACTTTAGGAACCTGACAGGGCTAAGAGAATAATCAATAAATGAATTTACTATTTTAGAGGATTCTGGTTTTGAATGTCACTATTTCAGCATAGAAATAAAAACTCTATGTAAAAGACTATTCTTCAACAATAATAAATGAGGCTTAATTAAAAGGAATATTTTAAATTAATACAGGCTTTAAGTTTAAATTTATCTAAACTTATACTTAATCTGTACACATTAATAAAGACAGACCTACTAAACTGTCTGTTTCAAATGCATGTAAGCAAAGAAAACCTTTCGGAGAAGTGTGAGAAAATGGTTCTATTATCATATTGAGTTAATGAAATAAATGATTTGTTCCAATTTTCCTAGAATTCAAACACTGATCTTTTCACAACATACAGTAACAGTTCTTAGGAGTTAAATATAGATTATCTTAATCATGCAAAAGTTTTAAAAGTACATACAGCAAAGAAAGAAAGATTAACTCTTGCCCTGGCCGGTTTGGCTCAGCGGTTATAGCATCGGTCTACAGACCAAAGAGTCCCGGGTTCGATTCCAGCCAAGGGCACATACCTTGGTTGCAGTTCGTCCCCAGCCCTGGTTGGGGTCGTGTGGGTGACAACCAGTCGATGTGTCTCTCTTACATCGATGTTTCTCTCTCTCTCTCTCTATTCATCTACCTCTCTCCCTCCCACTCTGTCTAAAGAGAAATGTAAAAAATATCCTCAGGTGAGGATTAAAAAAAAAAAAAAAAGATTAACTCTTGACAAAAAGTATTCAAAGCTAATTTGTTAATCTGATTAAAAAAAGTTTGGTATATTACTTAGTATGTCCCCAAAAGGTACCCTAAAAAAGAGATCTGTAAACTGTATGAGAGCATTAAAGCCTTTTTCAGAGATTATAAATAATATGGAGATGCCACACACATGGGCAGCAGATGAACAGGCAAGATAAAAAGAATTCTGTAGTAACCACAGTGTCTTAATCACAAACCTCTACTAACAGAAAGACAGGTGGCAGGGTAGTAAGAAGCTAGGAAAATTCCTGGACAAGTGAAAGGGGAAACTGAGACAAGAAAATTGAACAGGGCCAGTCTGGGCAGTTTTCAGCTGGTGTGTGAATCCCAAGACCTTATTTCCCTCAGCAAAGGACACTTGAAAGCAAATGGTTTATATTTCTCCTCCCTGACCATAGTTTTAATCACCTTGGCTTGGGAAAACAGAGAACAAAGATCCAATTAATGCCATTTGTGCCAACTAAACCCAAGGACAGATGAAGTCTGGGGTAAAAATAACAAAAACCCCAAAAGCATTTGGATGGTATCATTTGAAGGGGGAATGTTAGCAGGATAAATAGCTGCTAGGGCAGGAGGGGAAGGAGGAAAAAAAGAGGAATTTATCTCACCCACTGAACAAAGAAGTCAGCAGACTTGGGACTTGACAAGGAAAAATCACCAGACGGTCCCATAAATTCTGGGAAAGCCACAATAAAAGGGGGACCTTGAAATCTAGTGTATTCAGTAGAACCATGAAAAGGTATAAAACCCTGAACCCCCACCAGGTGGGGCACTCAGAGTACCTGAGTTGCCCACGTGTGCTTTATGCTCATTGTATTAATAAATTTGTTTGCTTTGCCTCCTTTATAAATGTACTTGCTTTGCTTCAATACTGCTTTCTGTCACACATCTGAATTCTTTCTCATGAGCGCGACAATAGCCGAGGAGGGGAGAGCCCCTCTGACTCTGGTGACTCTCGGGTAACAACAGTAATGTTACTATGGTCATTAACACTATTTCTGAAGTACTATTCTGCCTTCACAATATCACTGTCACTTCTCATAGATTCACATAATTGGGCTTTCTTTTAAGGCCCCCTAACTGCTCAAAGTCCTCCCAATAAGCCCATCGTGGCCTTCACAGGACCTGAGAACAGTGACCTCAGAGCCATCTGTCAAGGTGTGACTCAGTCCCCTGGAGAAATATTCACTGGTCCTAAAGTCAAAGATACAAGAATTCTGTTGCCTTGGTATAAATTTTTCATATTCTTTTTTAATCCTCACCCGAGGACATTTTTCCATTTCTTTGTTCAGGTAGAGTGGGAGGGAGAGAAAGAAATAGAGAGAGAGAGAAACATCGATGTGAAAGGGACACATCAAGTGGCTGCCACCCACACAACCAACCAGGGCCGGGGACAAACTGCAACTGAGGTACATGCCCTTAGCGGGAACCGAAGCCGGGTCTCTCCGGACCACAGGTCGACGCTCTAACCGCTGAGCCAAACTGGCCAGGGCAATATTCTTTTTTTTTCTTTTTTTTTTATCCTCACCCGAGGACACTTTTTCCATTTTTTGTTCAGGTAGAGTGGGAGGGAGAGAGAGGAACAGAGAGAGAGAGAGAAACATCGATGTGAAAGGAACACATCAAGTGGCTGCCACCCGCACAACCGACCAGGGCTGGCAGGGCAATATTCTTTAAGGAATAAAATAGAAATACACGTAAAGCTCTTACAAAAACTGTGAACAGCCATCACTTATTTATTATCAACTGTCCTTTAGGTACACTGTCACAATGAAGCCTCGAACAACCAACCAGGCATGTGGTGTTACCTGTTTGACAGATGTCAAAGCAGAAGTCTGCCCTGCCATACCTCACTGCCCGAGCAGCTGAGGAGCATGACTTTACTGTCTTTGGTTACCAAAAGAGTTAAAACTAACCCTTGTAAGCATGCTACATTACATTAAAAACCAAAATATAACTCATTTACACAGACTGTCCCTACATGCTGTAAAATCCTGCAATATTTTAATGTGGAAACCACAGAGCTTGAAGCTTAAAAAACTAAGGAACTTTAAGAATGAAACTGAAGAATATCAGTTTTACAACTAAGACACCTCTAAGAAGGTTCTGCCTAGAAATATTTCCCCAGGTTCTCAGCATTGTTCTGGGTATACTCTAAATGCTCAATAAATACTTCTTTACTGAATAAAATACTCTATATTGTTCCTTCTCCCTCAAACATTTGATTACCTCAAAAGGATTACCTCCTTTATATTTTTACTGGAAAGAAAAAAAAAAAACAAGCAAACCTTATTCTTCAGTCAAGTTTTACCTCCATTCACTTATTAGTAAATGACAATGATTCTGCACGTTACCGGCATTTTTTATCTTAATCATCTAGTTGAAACAGATTCATTCAATCTCATGGCTTAGAAATGCTTACAATTATGAAGAATACAGGGCAATTTAACCTTGTATCACCTGGCAAGCAGTATACATGGAGGAAACCACATGTATCTTTCACTGCTGTAGATACACCAACCTTCAAAGCAAATGTCCATGCTCAACACATCCACCGGGCAACTGCTGCTGCTGGTTAATTCAAGCACTAATGCTGAGCCACTAACAAACAAAGCACACTGTTGTGGGTAAGAAATACAGTGTTTCCTTCCTAGCTGATCTATCATAAACAGTATTCATGTACTACAAACAAATATTTTAATGGCTCAAATTACTTTTCTCAACTTCTAAAATAATCTATGTTACAAAAGTTTCTAATATTGACAAAGCATCTTTTTCTTATAAACCAGTAGAAAAAAAGACAAAGAGGAATTGTGGGTAATGGAATTCAAAGCACAGAACACTTTATAATGAAAAACAGGCTACTGTTGAGGAAAAATTAGACTACGATGTAATTTCATAATAAAATGTATTTACATACCAGCACAGAATATCCCTGGGACTTCACTCCTGACTATTACGGTCCGCACTTTCTTATCGGATTTTAAAGCATCCACAGCTTTTGAGAGCTAAACAGAAACAGGGAGGGTAAGAAGAAAATGGGAAATATTTTCAGACTGATGTCAACACCATAGTTTAATTTTAGAAGCAAGCAGTTTAATCTTTACACTCACCGTTTTAACAAGGTTTTTACTGAATGAATTTTTGGCATGAGCTCTGTTTATCCCAAGCACCACAATGCCTAGTTAAGAGAAAAGAAGCACAAGCACCCAGGTTAGTGAGTGTTCAGGGCGGTGACTCCCACACACATGGCCCCGTTCATTCGGGACTCGGGAACTCACTCTACACTCCTAAGGTTTACTCCCAGAGCTTCCTTTCCAAGCACCATTTTTGAAGAATGTGATGGATGTAACATATTTATAAAATCAATGTTCTGCTTAATAGTCACTGCTTCTCTTCAGACTGTTAGAGAAGAACCTGATAACATTATGTCCCTTCAATGTATCTCTTCGTAAGCACCACCAAGGTAAGTGGCATATTTAAGTGCACTTGACGTCATCAAGTCAGGCTAACTAGAAGGAAGGCCACGCTTACTGGTGCAAATCCTCAATTACAGCATGCTATTTAAAGTGTGGTTTCATCAACTCCACCTACATGCAGAAGGAACAGCTAACAAACCCTGGTCATAGGCAAGGACTGTAGGATCAGCTCTTTGCTAGTGGTATACATACCAGGTTAATCTTTTGTCATACTAACTAGTTTTCATTATCTCCATCACAACTTTCTCTCCCTCTGTTACACATACTTAAACTGACGGCACTTCCATGTAGAATTCCAACGAGCAATCCAACCTCCATCCACAGACACAAAGTTCACTCTGCCTCCCACAAAGCCCAGCTCTCCCTCCTCACTTCCCTAATTTTATCAGAAACCATCATCGAAATCCAGCCTCTAGTTCCAATCACTGCAGTCAGATAGAAATTCCAAAAACAATTCTATACAGTTGTTTACAATTGTTCAGAGTAACTGTTTACAGTTACTACAATTCTACAGAATTCAACCCCTGCTTAAATATCTTTAATTTTTTCTTCTTTCTTAAATATCTGATTTCAAAGACCTTAATTTGATATTCAAAGCTGTGCACACTGGACTAAACCTTCTTGTCCCAAGCAAGCACACATTTGCCTCGTGTAACAGAAATGCCTTTCACCTGGTTGGGTGTGGGGGTGAGCCTTGTTTGTAACTGGGTAAACTGAAGACGACAAACTGCATGCCTTCTCTAAGCCAGAAACTGCGCAAACTCACTTTTCAAAAAAAGTACGAAGATGGACTTGAGCTCACAGCAGAATAAATGTGCGAGAATCCCAAAGGAGCTCAGTACAGAGAAACTCCTGGAGAGGAACTGTCCAGGCACTGAGCAGCCAAGTGACAATGGCCAGGCCCCAGTACCAAGGACAACAGCTGCCACTAACTGAGCATGTGTACATGCCGGACACGGTTCCCAGTGCTCCCTGTTTACTAGCTTGTGTAATCCCCATAACAACCCAAGTAGTGGGTACAAAGTTTATCCTTGTTGAACAAAGGAAGACAGTGGGAGTTGGAGAGGTTAAATAACTACCTTCAGCTTGTAAGAAGCATTCCAACTCCATACCTGAATGAATGAAAGGACTACTCTACACTGTCCAAGCTTACGTTTCCTCATGAAGAAAATCGGGAGAACAACACTACATGTGTTCAAGGTGTGTCATTTATTCAAATGCACTGACTACACATTAGGGTGCTCAGCTCTCAAGGAATTATAGTCTAGAAAGAAAGGACAAACATCAATAAAATAATCATAAAAATGTACAATCCAAAATGCTTTACATGCTCTAAATGGTTCTACAGCAACTGTCACCAGAACTGATAGTCTGGGGCAACGAGAAAGCTTACCCAAGACAATGCTCTGAGTTGAGATTAGAAGAATGAGCAGGATTTGGGAAGAGGGGAGGGTCTGGAGTCCAGGCAGGGGCAACATAAGAGACAGCATACAGAAGCCATGGCCCTATCCCAGGTCCTGTCACTCAGGAGAAGGAGAAAGAGGCCAGGACAGGCCAGATACTGTCCTTACAGGTCCTGTTACATAATAAGGAGTCACCAAGGAAGAAGCTGTACGCAGTGTAAACACACATGTGCAACTGGGGGAAAGTACAGTCTCAACACTTGGAGAGCACACCACAAGTGCACAGGGCTGGACACCTCAGGGCCCGGCTGCAGTCCAGCCAAGAGACAGCAGGGTTGGCCGAGGTCAGGAGAGTTGGAAACAGAAGAAAGCGTAGGGATTCGAGAGAAGGTTGCAAATGTTAGGGACTGACCAGACTGAGGACTGACGGCACGGGAAGGGAGTATGGAGTGTCTGCTTGGTGTGTGGCTTCAGCACATGGATAAAGGAGATGACCTTCCCTAAGACAGGACCACAGAAACACAAGGCAGAGGGGAAACACTTCATGAGTTTGGTTTTGAATGAAAGTGAGTCTGAAGTGCCTCTGAGACACCCAAATTGACATCAGCTCTGAAGGTGTGACGGGAGAGCTCAGCCTCCCGACTGCCCCTTTCCACGCCGGCACTGCTGCTGTGGCCTGCGGGCTCGCAGCGCCTGCGTCACGCCTGCTCATCATCAGAGGAACTCGCTGGGGACTTGAGCTTTTACAAAGGGCCCTTCCCATTTTCCCTTCCCTTTACATAAGAGAAGCCTGAACTCCACATTTTCTCAAAATGGATTTGAGGACTAAAACTCCCATCTTCTCAATTGGTGCCTTCTTGAGCAATAAATGTGTTCTTCCTCCAAACTCTGACATTTCAAGGTTTGGCCTCTCAGGGTTCCAGGCACACGAACTGTGTGCCATGGACTTCTGAGCTAAGAATGCAGGCTCTAAATCTAAGCTATTGTAAATAGTGCTGCTATGAACATAGGGGTACATATATTCTTTCTGATTGGTGTTTCAGGTTTCTTAGGGTATATTCCTAATAGCTAAGATCTGGAAAAAATCCACATGTCCATCAGTAGATGAGTGGATAAAAAAGCAGTGGTACATGTACACAATGGAGTACTATGCAGCTGTAAGAAAGAAAGATCTCTTATCCTTTGAGATGTCATGGAAGGACCTGGAGAGTATTATGCTAAGCAAAACAAGCCAAGCAGAGAAAGACAAATATCCCATGATCTCACTTATTTGTGGAGTATAATGAACTAAACAAATTGCTGAACAAAATTAACCCAGAGACATAGAGGTGGGGTACAGACTGACAAGCCTCAGAGGAGGGGGGACTTGGGGGAGAAGAGATAAACCACAGAACTTACATGCATGTGTGCATGACCAATGAACATAGACAACAAAGCTGGGGATAGGGCGGGGGGAGGGAATGGAGGAGGGTGTCAATGGGGGAAAAAAGAGAAACATCTGTAACAAAAACAAATTAATAAATAAAAATAAATAAATAAAATAAAAGCAATGACAAGTATTAAAAAAAGAAAAAGAAAAAAGAATGCAGGCTCTGAGGTCTGACTGCTGGGCCTGAGCCCCAGTCTGCCACTTACTAGCTGTATGCCCTCTGGCTAGTCATCTAACCTCGAAGATCCTGTTCCTTACACTGCTGAGGAAGATAGGAGTAGTTCCCAACTCTGGGCTGTTGTGAGGAGCGAATAATACAATATATATGGGGTGGGGCACAGGTAGGTTTACTGTTGTGAGCACACAAAACAGTTTATTCGTGCACTATTACTGTTTATTAATTATTGCATTATTTTCCATACAAACTGTAAACCTACTTTTGCCCCACCCTGTACATAAAAGCTTACAAAGCATTCAGTTATTTTTGTCCCTTCTAGTAAGAAGAGACCATTAGTGTTACCATATGCATGCTTGACACAACACGGTAGACATTACTAAACCATCAAAGTGCTTTTACAGTAGTTAGTTATGGGAGCTTTGGCCCCACCTTTGAGGCCTGACTTTTGGGCACATCCACCTCAGAGCTGGAAATTAGTTCCGTAATTTAAAATGAACCATCCAGTGCCTACCTGTGTCATCAAATGTATCCGTGGGCCACTGAGACCCCAAAACAGGGAGAAACCTTAGCTTCACTCAGCAGAGCCCATCACTCTGTCTTGTACTTGTCCCACTTTACTCATGATTAATAGCACCTCCAGACCTCGATTATCAGGCACCCTCCTCATAGAACCCAGCCACAACAGGTTTACCAAACTCAGGTAAAACTACACGTTCATATGCTAACCTTAAATCCCTGTTTTAGGCTGTCCCTGCTTTTTTATAAAACATGATAAAACTCTGGTGAATCTATAACAAATTCATATCACAACATCCACCTTGCCCTACAAAGCTCACATGACTACAAGATGAACTCAGACTTCGCTGGGACTTTCAGTTATTTATTTTCTTTATTGATTTTAGAGAGAAAGGAAGAGAGAGGGAGAGAGAGATAGAAACAGTGATGAGAGAGAACATCAACTGGCCGCCTCCTGCACGCTCCCCACTGGGGATCAGGCCGACACAAGCTGGGCATGTGCCCTGACCGGGAATCAAACCGGCGACCCCTTTGGTGCAGGGTCGATGCTCAACCACTGAGCCACACCAGCTGGGCTCAGCTGGGACTTCTACAAAATATACGTGAATATACTTGGCTTGTACAAATTAAAATAATACATGCAAAGGAAAAACCTTCCCTGGACAACTCGCTCTCGCCCCCCCTCCCCACCCCGAGGCAGCACAGTAATCTGGTGATGTGTTACCTCCCAGAAAACGAATCCGCATACAGAAATAAAGAGTTGTGCACCACAGAGTTCAGGCTGTTGTTGCTATTCTATATAAATGGGGTGTCAGTATTTTTTGTTATTGCTGTTCTCCATAAACAGATCCATAAATATTTTTTATTTATTTAATTCAATCTTAAAGATCTGTCTATATCAAGACATTCCTTAAATTCATAATATTCTGTAAAATGGATTTCCATTATTTAGTCACCTTTTGAGCATTTAAACTGTTCCTAAATTTTCCTAAATACCATAATGCTGCAATAAACATTCTTGAAGATTTCTTTTCTATACGTGCCTAAGTATTTACCTGACAGATATCAAGAAGTGGAATTCTGCCCTGGCCAGTTTGGCTCAGCGGTTGAGCGTCGGCCTGTGGACCAGAGAGTCCTGGGTTCGGTTCCTGCCAGGGGCACATACCACAAAAAAAA